TGGCCGCCGCAGCCGGCGCGCTACGGCCGGCGCACCGCGCTGATCCGATGGCAGGAACCAGGAGCCAGGTGCTTTTCCTGGTCTCCCATGGGGTACAGGGCCCAAGCACCTGGGCCATCCTCCACTGCACTCCCTGGCCACAGCAGAGGGCTGGCCTGGAAGAGGGGCAACTGGGACAGAATCCAGCGCCCTGACTGGGACTAGAACCCGGTGTGCCGGCGCCGCTAGGCAGAGGATTAGCCTAGTGAGCCGCGGCGCCAGCCCCCATGTGCCATGTTACTGTCAGAGTCCTCCCCTGAATCACAGAGCTGCCATCCCGTAACTGCTTAAAAATCTTCAGTGGCTCCCTATTACCTTCAGAAAAAAGCCCAGGCCAGCGCCGTGGATCACTAGGCTAATCCTCCGCCTTGTGGCGCCAGCACACCAGGTTCTAGCCCCGGTCGGGGCGCCGGATTCTGTCCCGGTTGCCCCTCTTCCAGGCCAGCTCTCTGCTGTGGCCAGGGAGTACAGTGGAGGATGGCCCAAGTACTTGGGCCCTGCACCCCATGGGAGATCAGGAGAAACACCTGGCTCCTGCCTTCGGATCAGCGCAGTGCGCTGGCCGCAGCGCATCGGCCGCAGCGGCCATTGGAGGGTGAACCAACGGCAAAGGAAGACCTTTCTCTCTGTCTCTCTCTCTCACTGTCCACTCTGCCTGTAAAAAAAAAAAAAAAAGCCCAACTCCTGAGCCCTGCGGCTGGGTGAGGACCAGCGGGGTAGCTGGTCCTCATGCATTTGAACCCCCACTCCGTGCCTTGAGGCAAAGCACTCTGCCCTCAGCCCTCATCTGTAAAAGTAAGGTGAACAACTTTGACTTTGTTGGGTTGCTTTGAGGACAAGCGGTAAACTCGGTGGATAGCAGTGTTCAGAGATGGCCATACGCTCGCAATCTGCAGGTGCGGCTCCCAGTCGCCCCGAGCGGACTCTCCCCGCAGATCCCGCACCGTTCACGCCACGTTTGCCTCCTGCAGGTCCTTAGGGAGATCTAGGCCTCCGTTTGCTTATGTGGTCGCTGCCTTTGTAGAATCTCTTTCCCTTCCCTTCGGTTTCTTCTTCTTTTTTATGTAGCTACTGTTCATTAAACAGTTTTGCCAAGTTCTTCATTTTTTTTAATAGATTTATGTATTTGAAAGGCAGAGTGGGGAGGGGGGAGAGGGACATCTTGTCCACCTGCTGGTTCCTCCCCCCAAATGGCCTCAACAGTCAGAGTGGATCCAGGCTGAGGCCAGGAGCCAGGAACTCCATGCGGGTCTCCCACGTGGGTGCAGGTGCCCGAGGACTTGGGCCATCGCCGCTGCCTCCCCGGGGGCGTCAGCAGGGAACTGCATCGCAGCGCAGTCTCCAGGAACCGAAGCCAGCACTCCAGTGGGCAGCAGGTGTCCCTGGCTACAACACCAGCCGCCCCCCACACACCCCGCTTTTTCTTTACAAATGACGTAAGACACCAGGGCCTCCGGGAATGCGTGTGCTCCCTCTATTGCAGACGCAGATCTGTTCCGCGCTGTCTTGTGAGCTTCTGGGGCAGGGACCTTGTCTCCTGGTTCATCCAACAAACGCCTGCCAGCCCCGAGCAAGGTGCCTGGCTCCCAGCAGGCAGCCAGTCAGGGTCCCCAGAAAGAACTCCTGCCTAAACAGGAGCTGGTTTTATTATCGCCAACACTGCTGTTTTTCTTTTTGCCAGAGGGGCTGCCATCCTCGACACGGACAGTGTAAAGGCTATACTCTCCCCATAATGTCTCGTGGGAGCCAGTGCTGTGGCACAGAGGGTTAAGATGCCGCCTAGAGCACCAGTTCGAGTCCCGGCTGCTCCGCTTCCGACCCAGCACTCTGCTAAGGCACCTGGGAAAGCAGCAGAAGATGGCCCTGGTGCTTGGGCCCCTGCTCCCTTGAGGGGGCCTGGTTTCACCTGGGCCGAGCCCTGGGGAGTGAACCAGCGGACTGAAGCGCTCTCTCTCCCTCTCTGCCTTTCAAGTAAACAAATGAATAAATCATTCTGTCTTTGGACCATCACGCAGCATACATTCCCATTTAAGGTGGCAGAGACGAAGATGAGATAAGGAAACAGAAGAGGGCCGTGCAAACCGCGCTGCAACATAGCTCGGCAGCCACTTGATTATATGGTGTCTTTTCTTAAGGACGTCTGAATTCGTGTCACTACCCAGATCCAGACACAGAACATTATCCGCTCTGGAGGTACCTCGCCTCCTCCCCACCCCTACCCCATCGCAGCCGTCTCTCCCCAGGGCCTGCCTTGTGGCACACACTCCAATATTGGAATGAATCAACCAACCAACAAGGAGGCCCAGGCTGGAAGGGAACGGAGGCCTAGGGGCAGCGCCCAGCCTGCTCTGAGTAAATTATTCACATCGTCTACAGCAGGCTCCGGAGTTAAGAGGGTATCTACTGGGAGTTCAGAGGCAAGGCCTGGCTCCCCGGGGCGTTTCAAAGGGAGGTCGCGAGGACAGAAAACCTCCCGCTCGCCCCGACCCACCTCCCGGGCCTGCCGGCCCCGCCCCCGCCGCGCAGTGCCCGCCTCCAAAGACCCCAGCCCAGCCGCGGACCAGTCGGCGGGGAGCCATCCATCACTGTCTGGACGCCAGCCAATCCCACTAGCTTTGTCCTCCAGCCAGCCAATGGCCGGAAGGCGGGGGAGCGCGCGCAGCCGGAGGGGGCGGGGCTACCGGTTCTGGTCAAATAAAAGCGGTCCGAGCGCCCGGTGGCGCTACTCCTGTAATCTTTTGTGTCCTCGGCTCGGGGTCTGAGTATAGTTGAGGTCGTGTCTCGCGCCAGATTCCCCAGAGCCGGGACCTCCGTGCGCGGTGGCTGACTGGGCCCAGGTTTCTGACGTGGCCCCGGCGCCCTCAGGCCCCCTTCCCCGCGTGTACGCGGGACCCTCGGTCGCTCGCGAGGACACGGCCGGGCGCGGGCTGTGGAGAGAGCGGAGGGACCCAGGGGACGGGAGGAGCGGGAAGGCAGGGCCGGCGTCCTTCCCGAAACCCGCGCCCGCCGGCTGCGGCCTGCGGCAGCGCTAATGAGGCCGTCAGAGAGAAGCGGTGCCAGCGGGCAGGGCGCGGGGCGGCTCGGCCGCGGACGCAGCGGGAGGGGGCCGCTTGCGGGTCGCCTCTCCGCCTCGCGGAGTCCCCTGGGGTCCCTCTGTCACTCGGCGCGGAGCCCGTGTGGGCGAGGGGTCGCGCAAGCCCGCGGGCAGGGAGCGTGGAGGGCCACCTGTCCGCAGCCGTCGGAAAACGCTCCAACCTCGGCAGACGGTGGCGAGAGGGGCCCAGCGCGCGTGGACGTCGGCCCCGCCCGCCCCTTCCCAGTCCTGTCCCTGCGCGGGGCCCGGGTTGCCAGGAAGCGAATCGCCGCTGCAGTGGCTGCGGTCGCCTGGGAGCGGTGTGGCCGGAGCCGAGCGCCGGGTGTGGCCGCGTATTTGCCAGGGGATTTCTTTCCCGTCGCCACGCTGGCCCCTGAACCCACTTAATTGCATGCTCTTTTTTCTCCCCGTTCAGAGTTGCCCTTTTGCATTATTTACCGGAATCGGTTATGCACACTTACAAGCCTATGTTTACGTCACTACACCCTGGTCATTTCCTCTAATGACAGAAGTGGTCAAGCCCATGAAAAATAATCTTGGAGAGTTCTGCGGTGTGGGGCGTGATTACCACAGGACCAGCCTCTATCACCGTCCAGGGCTAGCCGCTCTCCGGCTGCAGCGCCTGGCGGAAATCCCTGTGCCCACGCCGGCGGGGAACTGGCCGGACAGGACGCGCGTGCTGGTTGCCAGGGCAACGCTTCGTGGCGGGTGTTGGCAACCAGCCCGAGCTGGTCCCGCCCTAAAGGGCGGAGTCGGTCCCGGGGACGGGCCCAGCGAAAGCGAGCTTCCGGCCTCTGCCCTCCAGGTGGCGCTATAGGATCGCAGATGCCATCCTGGGGCGGGGCTTCCAGCGGCGCCCAAGGCGGCCGAGGGGCGGGACTGGGGCGGGGCGTGCGGCCAGGCTGCGGGGCGTTCGGGGTGGGGGGAAAGGGGCTGTCCCGGGACTCGGCGTTAAACAGGCGCGGGAAGTCCGGGCGCAGCGTCCGCGCCACGGGGAGAAACTGGAGCTTCTGGGACGGGGACGCCAAGGCGAAGTCGTGGTCGCCCAGAAAGGCCACTTGTCTCCAACCTGGCGCGCCCCGGGTGCCGCCGCCTCCCGCCTCCGAGCCGCGCCTCGCGCGCCTGCAGGGCCCTAGTGCCCGGGTAGGAATTCCACGGCCCCGAGTGTGCCAAGAACAACAGTCAGGCCGTTCCTCTCCCAGAGGAGACTGGGAATGGAAAAAATGACCGAGTCCCCAGCGGAGCCCCCGTGTGTATCCTGCGCGCGCAAAATTCGGGTGCCCACGATGGCGGGGAGTCGAGCGCCATTTCCACCCCTTTTACGTGGCACGAGCATACTCAGCTGTCCTCCCCACACACGGGGCCCCTTGGGTCAGTGCCGCACCCCCTCCTGGCGTTAACTAGTCCCCGATCCCCTGACCCACCCGTCTTCCCATAACTCCTGCGGGATATGCCCGGAACCCATGCTGGGTGTCCCGAGACGTGCCACAGGCTGTGCAGGGCCCCACGCGCGCGCGCACACACACACAGAGGCTTCCCAGGCCAAGAGAGGAGACCCTTGGCAGGTTTATTAGGACCCTGGGGCCAGGGATGCCTGAAGAGCGAGTTAGGGTGGCTCAGCTGGCTCCCAGGGCCCAAAGGCAGTGCCCAGGTCTAGCCTTTGGTTTTCAGAGCCGCGGTCCGGAGAAGCCTGCGGTCAGTGCTGGGAGGGCCTGGGATTGGCAGAGGGGTCTCTCGGGTCCCTTGGGGTCGCTGGGCATGTGCCAGGATGGGTCCCAAGAGCAGGAGGGCTTGCTTGCATCCGCTGCAGCCTTCATTTTAATAGCGACCATTTAATTTGTTCCTTGGCAGACTGAAGAACCTGGGGGGGGGTGCATTAGAGAAAGAATGGGGGGGGGGTGCGGAGGAGGCGATGCCCAGTGCCTTAGCAGTGAGGGGAGGTCTGTGGCCATTCCCACGGGTCCCTGGGACCCCTGATCACTAGGTGGCAGCAGCTTCCCTGCCTGCTTTAAATGGCCATGAAGTGGAAAGCAAAAGGCAGGCCAGACTGGCGGCCAGCTCCAGCCTCAGGCCGAGCCTGCCCAGCCCTGGGCTTCCTGCCCCAGCAGCTGTGGGTGTGGCAGCCGCCCCTGCTTCCCCCATGCCACGCCAGGCCACTTCCTGCCCAGTGTCTCCTAGGGGAGGAGACTGGGCCCAGACTGGACACTTCCTGTGCTCAGACACCTGATCCCTCAGTGGACCCCTAGCTTCCCAGCCCACCCCCGCCCCTGCTGATGTGGCACAGCCGGTGAAGGGTGGCTGTCTGGGCATTCCACACCCTGCGGAGGAAGAAGTGTCAGGCCGGGTTGACACAATCGCCCCCCCACACACACACACACCATGCACACACAGTACCAGCCAGCAGGGCCCCGCCTGTGCCCCTCCAGCCACAAAGCTACATTTCCTGGTGAAGACCTGTGCCACGCTGCCACGCTGCGTAGGCCCCTCCCCCTGCAGAGTCTCTGTCTCGGGGACAGCTTGGCCTGGACACCCCCGCATCTCCAAGCTGGAATCTAACTCTGTCCTCATTTGAGCAGTCCTCTGCCACCTGCAATTCTGGGTTTTGACTCAAGAATTCTACTATAAATGCTGTCTTCCATCTTTCCCTTTTTGGAAAAATAGTAATAGTTTTGTAACTGACAATGCATGATTTGCCAGGGGCTCCCCGAGAGCTGTCCGTGCGCTGGCTCATCTCGTTCTCCTAATGACTCTGTAAGGAGGGTCCTGGTGTTCTGTGACGCCCAGAGGCTGAGTAACTTTCTCTGGGTGAGCAGCCCGCGGGGCTCAGGTGGAACCTGTATACCCTGGGCTGATGCACACCAATGCCCGTGGTCTTTCCTGTTCTGCTCAGTGCCCGCTCGCTCACCTTTCCGCCCTGCAAATTGCTGGCAGTTGCATCCATTTCAGCAGGATGGGAGGGGCCCCCGAGGGGAGGGCGACGCAGAGTGAGCGCCAAAGGCAAGCCGGGAAAGTGGCCACCACACGTGGGGCTCCCTGGCCACTAAGGATGGCACAGCCCCGTCTTGGCTAAGCCATCACAGCAGGAGGTAGTTAGTGTCAGGGCGGGAAGCTCCAAAAAAAGCAGGATTAGTGTAGGCAGAGAGACCTGCGGGCAGACAGAACAGGGCAAGACAGGCAGCCTGACCCGCAGGAAGTCCGTGCAGCGGCGGAAGGATCAGGCCAGAGTCCACCGCCCCACCCCGCCCTCGGCACGCACCCTGCCCGACAAGGGAGCTTGCAGGGCAGCGGTGGGCGTGGGCTTTTCCACAGCCAGGTGGCACTGGGCCAGGTGGTGAGTGGGGAAAGTTAGATCCCCTCGAGCGTTTAAGGGGACCCTTAGCAAATCCCAGTGTGCAGCCTAAATGGGGAGGGCAGGGGTCTGAGGCAAACCTGTCTTCCAGGGAAGGGGAGCATTAGGGGGTCTGGGCCCCCAGATTGCTTTGCACGACAAATGACCCAGCTGTCACCAGAGAGGGCAACTCATCCTGAATTCAACTTAACCTGGCAGGAGGTTAGGTGGCTGGTGGTAACACAAGCCCATCTGTCTTTTAGCACCTGCTTCCCTCCCTCTCCCCACACCTGGAAGCTCGCGGCGACTTGGCGACTTCCGGAGAGCCCCAGCCCTTCCCTCCTGCACCCCGAGTCCTCCGCCATGGCAGCCTCCCTGGGGACACTCTGCTCTCCTCGTCTTTCTGTTCCATTTCTGGCCAAGGCAGACCCAGAGCACTTACCTGGGCCACGCTCTGTTCTGTTAACCCACCGTCATCAGCCTGTTGGGGGGGAGGGGCAGAGTCAAAGAGGGGGCTTGGGCCAGTGCCAGAGCGTTGGCTAGGAGAGGTGGGGGAGGGGGATCTGGGGATGACGTTAGTGGAGGTCCTGGGAGGCCAGGACCCCTGAGACCCTTCTGTGGTGCCTGGGGGGTGGGGGAGGGAAGGGCTGGCTTCTGCCAGAGGCTCTGGGCTCCCGCCATCTCAGCCCTGGCCGCCCTGGAACCGATGGGAGAGCCAGGGAAGACCCTTACCCTAAAGTTCACTTTCTGGACCACTTGCTGGGGGTCACTTTCCAGAATCACCCTGTAAGAGGAGGGGAAACCAGGAGCACAGTCGGTGCCGATTCCCAACCACGCCCTCCGGCCAAAGCCTCCCGCCTGTGTCCAGGGTATCCTGGGACGCCTCCTCCCCTTCAGGCGCTTTCCCAGGGCTCCTCCTCAGCTCAGACTCCTCCCTCCCCAGCTCCGATTCTTCCACACTTCACACCCTTGATCATCGCTGGGCAAAAACTGTGAGCTGGGGTACAAGCTGAACCTTCTAGAATGTTCAGGTTGCCCTGGGTGGGGACTCACAGACTCAGAGCCCTGCAAAGTTCCCTTCGCTTTCTGGGTCTAAGGTGCAAGCTCTGTGCCAAGTCCCAGAGGCCCCGAAGGGAGGGAAGGGAGCCCTATTTCAGTGTTGGTTTATGCCGGGGGTCAGGCCATCCACAGAAGAAATGGAACTCCCAAAGCCAGACTCTGCCATCCCTTTTGATAGACCCCAATACGAGACTAGTCTCAGCCAGTGCGTGCTCAGGGCGGCATCAGTGGGGGTGCACAGGGCCTGACATGGGGTGGGGTTTGGTACAGATGACAGCCGCTGAGGCTCCTCCGAGGCAGAAGCCGAGTGTTTTTGTTTGTTGTTATTAATATCATTATTACCACTGGGAAATGACAAACTCTTCCCTGGCAGCCCCAGGCTTCCCGTGCCTGTTCTTCATGTAGTCCCCACAATCCTTTGAAGTGGTTCCCTTATCATCCCCATTTTAAAACAGGCAAAGTGAGGCTCAGGGAGAATTAGTCCCTGGCCCGAGTCCTACATCTGAGTGGTGTTAGGGTCTGCGGTCCTTCCAGGCACAGCAAGCGCCTGGGCTCTGGAGGTCAGACTGGATTTCCCCGTGACGTCCACGGTCCCCTCTTGTGTGGCTTGGTTTTGGCTGACATGGACGTGTGCTTATCATCACAGTGGGATGGAATCCGTGGGATGGAATCCGTGGGGAAGTTGGCCCGAGAGAGCCCAGCAGTGCCCTGGGAGCCATCTGAGCTGAGGGCCCTGCAGGGGAGGGCCCCAGCCCCCGCTTCTCTCCACCCCTCCTCACCCGCCATCCACAATCTCGTCCAGCACCAAGAAGGCTCCATCCAAGTTCTCGAGCAACCAGCGCTTCTCCACATTCTTCCTGAGGGCAGACAAGCACGTGAGCCTCCCCGCACTGAGGTGAGGCAGGCGCCCCCTCTGCAAAGACCGCCTCCTCCACCCCCTCCCGGACCAGGTCCAGGAAGGAAAGTGGAAAGGGGGGCGGAGCCTGTGCAAGGGGCTCCCGGGCAGAGGGCCGATCACTGCCTTCAGTCCCCCACCCCTTTGCCTGGACTCCCCCACCTTGGCTGTGCCCACCACCGGACCCTTCCATGCAGCTCATGGCTAGTTTAGAAGCTACAGTCCTCCTGCGTGTGATTAGGTCAACTGTGGACCTTTGTTTTTGGATTATCCGAGTTTGGTTTGACCCAGGCACTGCGACAGATGCCAGATAATTGAGTGGCAACCCAGTGGGAACCAGCCTGCGGGTCAAGGCAAGAACGTGAGTGCGAGTGTGGGCGCTCTGATCTCTGCTACGATATTAACACGCGTGGTCTCCGGCGACTTGCTCAGCTGCCTCAGACCTTGTCATCCGGCCGTTCCCTCTGCACTGCCGTGCTCTGCGTGACCCCCTGGTGACCAGGGAAGGGACAGGGGTCTTGGCGGAAGGTTCTAGTCTCAGTCCAGCAGGGACCTCTGGGATCGATCGGCCTTGGGAGCACAGAACCTCACTCACCTTAACATGTGGCTCAGCGACTCAAACAGGCAGGTGAGCACGGCCATGAGCATCAGCTGCGACGGGCAGGTGCGGGAGGGGAAAACAGGAGAGCTCGGGTGGAGAAGGCCAAAGGGGCCTCAGAGCCCCCCTTGGGGTGGGGGTGGGGCGTGCCTGGTCAGAGGGGTCGGGGCTGGAGGGCAGCTTGACCCTAGAGGGTGGGACACGCTGGCCTGCTCCACGTGGGGACACCGACTGTCTCCTACCCCAGTTTTGTTTAAGAAAGAAACAGGCTCCCTGCAGAGGGGTGATGGCTTCACTTGTGACGCCATGGACACGCATCATCCCAGAAGGAACCGTTCTGCCCCCCCCCCCCCAGCCCCGAGGGCCCCTGGTGAGCTTCCAGGGCCCAGCCTCCACCCCAGACCCCAGGCCATTGCCTCCTGCGGCCCTGCCCCCCTGAATTCACCTCATTCTCCTGCGATGAGCCCACCACGTACAGGAAGAGGTCAACGCTGCTTTTGTAGACGATGGTCATGCCCCCGAGAAACGCAATCTCACCTAGGAGCAGAGGGGCTCTGAATTCTGGCCCCCTCCCCGGCCTGGTGCCGGTCGCCTCCCTGCTCTCAGCCCACAGTAGGGCCACCACTGTTGGGTGTCTCCGCATCCTTCCCCCCACCTGCCACGCTATTTCTAGGCAGCCTCATTCTGAATCAACAACGGCAGTTCAAGGTCAGCCTCCTGTCCCCACCCCCCACACACACACATGCAGTGCCCTATGGGGCCAGATCCCAAGTGGGGGAGCCACACACAGAGGGTGCGGGGAGGGGTGCCCTGCAGGTGGGCGGGCGGGGGTTGAGAGGCACCCAGCGGGGTGAAGGGCTGGGGACGGGAGTGGAGGACAGCTGGGGAGGAGACCCTGGAGGAAGGGGAAGGGCTGGGCTTGGAAGGCGACAGGGACAGCTGTGTCAGGATGGGGAAGGCGACAGGGCGTGTCTGAGAATCCTGGGGCAGCAGGAGGCCAACACTTACTCTCGGTGCGGCTGGTCTTGTTGAAGACATTTTTCTCGAAGACCACCTGCTCCTTCACGGAGGGGAATGTGTCATCATAGTACTGTGAGGAAGGGGAGGAGGCGGGGCCGTGGCCATCACACAGGGCCTGGCTCCTCTCTGGATGGGCGGCAGGGCAGGGAGGAGTGGGCGCTGGCCAAGCGGGACCCTGCTGCCACGCTGACTCCCCTGTACTGCCTCCTAGGCCGGTCCCCTCACCACTTCCCCATATACAAATTCTAAGCGTTCTGCAGATGTGCAAGGGGTGGACGGCTGGGGGTCACCAGGTGGCACTGTGTGACAGCCACCTGAGTCCATGCAGCCAGGTGTCCTTCCTAAACAACCACTACCAGGACAACAGGGGAAGAAGGGTGTGACGGAGTCAGGCGATGCCCCCCGCAGTCGGCAGAACCAGAGCTGGGGTTCACCGAGGACAGTTTGACAGCAGACGGGGTTATGGTGAAGCTCAAGTTCTGGGCACGTATTCCAGAACCAAAATCAGCTTTTGTTCCACTATGGGTTTGGTGAGCCTCGCTCTCCGACTCAGTTTCTTAATCTGTAACATGGATGGGTGCCGCAGGGAGGAGGCCCTGTGCCGTTGGGCAATGCTGGTCCACCTCTGACCACCTGCTGGTGCAAGGGTGGTCCACTCAGCTTGCAATTCTCAGCATGGATTTTGCCACCCAGTGCTCGATCCACAGGCAAATTAGCAGTCTCCCAGCCGGCCGCAGCTGCAGGGGACACACTCATTTGAATGTCCTGAAGGCAATAAAACTTCAGCCCCAAACACACAAGTGAAATCTCCAGAATGCAATGCTCGCTTGTGTAAGTGTTTCAAGGTCTCCTACAGAGGGAGTCCATGGCAGAAATCTGGCTTTGGCTGGTCCCCGCCTGGTGTGCTCTGTGTGTGTGTGTGTGCGCGCACTCTAGTACAAGCACCAGGCCACGGAATGGGGGTGCAGTGGAAACCACCCTGGCCTTCAAGTCAGAGCCTGACTCCAGGCGCTGCTAGGGTGTGAACACGTGTAACCCCAGGCTGAGCACGTGGCTCCTCTGTGCTTCCTGTTCATCATCTGTGATGCGAAAGAGTGGGATCAGAGGGTCTCTGACGTCACAACTGCTTCTACGTCCTCTGACCCCTTAGTGTTTACCAGACCGCAAGTTGCTTGTTGGAGTTCAGGGACCAGATCTCCTGGGTCCCAGGCTGCACACCCCACCCAGCCCTTGGGTGGGGGGTTCCCTGTGCCCAAGGACCAGCTGGCCAGTGCAAGGATGAGTAGCAGTAAGGAGAACCCCCCCCCCTTCAGCGCCAGCAGGAGTTAGGAGAGGAAGGTGTCAGAAGGACCTCCTGCTGGGGCTCAGCTGAGCTGCCCTGAGAGACCCCAGCGGTTTCTCTGTGTTCTGGGGTCTGTGGCACTTGGGGGCTCAGGGTCGGGGTCAGGGTCGAGTTGGGGGTTACCTTGGCCAGCAGCCGGTGCCCATCATTGTCTAGGATGAAAACAGCCTTGATGGTGTAGAGGGAAGGTTCCTGCAACTGACAGGAGGGGGTGGGAAGAGCTCCATGTGGCCCCTGGCCCCAGACAGACGCCCTGTGGTGGGCTCCATGGACTGGGCCGGCCCTAGGGGCACCTCCTCGGGCTCCAGCGAGCAAAGGTGCACCGTTGGTTCCCGCCCCACCCTGCGCCACAGGGGCCACTCCACTGCGCGGCGGCGGCGGCGGATGTTCCGCGGCAGGCCCCGGGTGGGCGCCGTGCCCGCTGGGTGCAGAAGGTCCTTCCGGGCCCAAGTTCTGTCATGCACTGACTGCTCCAGAGCCCGAGTCGGAGTGTATCACAGAACCTGGGCCGGGGGACAGCGGCGCCGAGAGCCTGCTGCTTGCCGGCGACCCCGGCTCCAGAAGCACGCGCGTCAGCCCCCCCCGGGGGTGGGCGCTCCAGTCCCGGCCGCCAAGGCCACTCCTTACCGGCTCCCAGAGGACGCTCGTTCCCCGCCCCCCATCCTCGTCATCCCCATCCCCATCCCCATCGCTGCTCCGAGTTGACCTCAAACTTCAGCCCCACTCCGGCTGGCCCAGGACGGGCCGCCTGGCCGGCCCGCGCCGCTGCACGAACTTACCGTCCCCTACCCTGGGCCTGGGCCCCCTCCCCGGGGCTGCCCGGCGGCGACACAAAGTTCCCAGCGCCGGCGCGCGCGAGTTGTGAGTTGGCGGCCGCTCCCCGCCCAGCTCCCGCTGCCCGGGACCCCGCACCCGTGCGCTCCCTACCCGCGGCCCCGAGGGCTCCCCGGCTCCCGCGGGCGGCGCCGCGCCCCCGGTCTGGGCCGCCGCGGCCCCCTCCCCCGGGTGCGGACGTGGCCAGGCCTCGGGCCGCTGCATTCCGCTCGCGCCTCGCACTGACAGCGCCGCCCGCCGCGCCGCTCCGCCTCCGCGCCCGGCCCCCGGCGCCGCCCGCGCCCTCCGCTCCGCCCGCGGCTCGTGCGGGGCTGTCCTTGCCTCCCTCCTGCTCGGCCTCCTGCCGTCCCCTCGCGCCCCCTCGGCCCTGCGCCCACACCCGCGCGCCCCTGCCCCACCTCTCGTCTCTCGCTCTCTCCCTCCGCTCCCCAAAGTCCCGCCGAGCTCGCTGCACCGTCAGGTGGTCCTAGGACCGGCCTCTGGCGGCTTCCTGCCTTTCTCAGGCTGTCCTGGGCCCGCAGGAAACAGAAGCAAAACTCACCTTGGTAGGTCCCCTCGCGACAAACGTCAGGTCACCCTCTGGGTCTCAGGGACGGCGGCTTCTGGCAGTGGCCGATGGGGCCAGCTCTGGGTGACCCCTCCGTGGGGAAGGGGCGCTCCCATTCCTCTCGCACTGCTTCCGGGGCGGGGAAGCCAGGACCCCAGGCACACCTCCCCAGATGTTTCCCGAGAAAAGCCACTGCTCGGTCTGAAGCAGACGGGATGCCCAGTGCAGAAATTTCTAGAAAGCACCAGGCTTTGCAGTCAGGTGTGGCTTCTTCCATCTGGGGACACCAGAGGACACGCACTTATGGCCTGTGGCAAGGTCACGCTTCAGAGAGACGGAGTTCATGATATTTAGGCATGTACCCTGCCAATGCCATGTGTGCACGTCACATCCAACAGGTTGACACGCACTATGCAATACAATCCACACGGTGAGATAGGGACTGTCATCCCCACTCTAAGCGCAGAAATTCGGACTTCGTGCGACTTTTCAAAACAGCATATGGGGCCCTCGCTGTGACATAGACCACCACCTGTGACGCCAGCATCCCATGTGAGCACTGGTTCAAGGCCTACCTGCCTGCTCCACTTGTGATCCAGCTCCCTTCTTCTTCTTCTTTTTTTTTTTTTTTTTTTTTTTTTTTTTTTTTTTTTGACAGGCAGAGTGGACAGTGAGAGAGGTAGAGACAGAGAGAAAGGTCTTCCTGTTTTTCCGTTGGTTCACCCTCCGACGGCCGCTACGGCCAGCGCACCACGCTGATCCGAAGCCAGGAGTCAGGTGCTTCCCCTGGTCTCCCATGTGGGTGCAGGGCCCAAGCACTTGGGCCATCCTCCACTGCACTCCTGGGCCACAGCAGAGAGCTGGACAGGAAGAGGAGCGACAGGGACAGAATCTGGTGCCCCCACCAGGACTAGAACCTCCGCAGGCGGAGGATTAGCCTATTGAGCTGCGGCGTCGGCCCCCAGCTCCCTTCTAATGTCCTGGGAAAAGCAGTGGAAGATGGCCCAAGTGCTTCAGCTCCTGCCACCCATGTGGGAGACCTGGAAGAAGCTCCTTGCTCCTGGCCATTGAGGCCATCTGGGGAGTGAACTAGCCAATGGAAGACCTCTGTGTGTCTCTCCCTCTCTCTGTATAATTAATTAATTAACTAATTGATTTTGGGGCAGGCGCTGTGGTATAGTGGGTAAAGCCACTGCCTGTGATGCCACCATCCCAAATGGGCACCGGTTTGAGTCTTGGCTGCCCCACTTCCGACCGGCTCCCTGGGGAAACAACGGAAGATGGCCCAAGTGCTTGGGCCCCTGCACCGGTGTAGGAAACCCAGAAGATCCTGGCTCCTGGCTTCAGTCTGGTCCAGCACTGGCTGTTGTGGCAATTTGGAGAGTGAACCAGCAGACGGAAGATTTTTCTCTCTCCCTCTCTGTCACTCTGCCTTTCAAATAAATAGAATAAACCTTTTTTTTTTTTTTTTTTACAGGCAGAGTGGACAGTGAGAGAGAGAGAGACAGAGAGAAAGGTCTTCCTTTGCCCTTTGCCATTGGTTCACCATCCAATGGCCGCCGCGGCCGGTGCGCTGCAGCTGGCGCACTGCACTGATCCGAAGGCAGGAGCCAGGTGCTTCTCCTGGTCTCTCATGCAGGTGCAGGGCCCAAGCATTTGGGCCATCCTCCACTGCACTCCGGGACCACAGCAGAGATCTGGCCTGGAAGAGGGGCAACCGGGACAGAATCCGGCGCCCCGACCGGGACTAGAACCCAGTGTGCCGGCGCTGCAGGCAGAGGATTAGCCTATTGAGCCATGGGGCCAGCCAATAGAATAAATCTTTTAAATAAATAAATAAATCTTAAAAGGAAAAAAAGAAACCTGGGTTCTTCCACACAACTACTTATTAGCTGTATACGGTCTTTTTAAGATTTATTTATTTTTTAAATAAATTTTTAAGATAAAAATAAAGAAATTTTAAATTTATTAAATTTAATTAATTTAAAGAAAAATAAATAAATAATTTATTTATTTGAGAGGGGGCGGGAAGGGAGAACACACTCCCACCTGCTGGCTCACTCCCCAGGTGCCCACAGTGGCTTGGATTGGGCTGTGGCCAAACCTGGGAGCCAGGAACTCAGTCCATGTCAGCAACCCAAGCACTTGAGCCATCACTGCCGCTTCCCACGAAACTGGAGTCAGGGGTTGGAGTGGGGTGTCAAACTCAGGTACCCTGTCTGATAGGAGACACAGCTTTGTCTGGTGTCTTAAACACTGCGCTAGATGCTGGCCCTGGATCCAGGATTTGGGACTTGACATTTCCTCTCTGTTCTTTTCTCAAGGCCTGTTCTGTGGTTAACCCATTCACTCATGCTTCATGGCTATGGAGTGGGGTTTTCTCCCACCAACTGCCTCAAACCATCTCATCCTCAGGTTTAGGATGAAATGTTGTCGTCCAAAGGCCCACTGTGACAATGACAATCACTGTTCAAGCTCAGCAGATTCCCCATCTCCGCACCCTACTTACATCTTCCTTGTTCTTCTCGCAATCACTAAATGTCATTGTATTATTTTTTAAAGTTTATTTGCTTATTTATTTGAAAGGCAGAGTTACAGAGAGGCAGAAATTGGGGGATCTTATATCCACTGGTTCACTCCCCAAATGACCATAATGGCCAGAGCTGTGCTGATCCGAAGCCAGGAGCCAGGAGCTTCTTCCGGGTCTCCCACGCGGGTGCAGGGGCCCAAGGACTTGGGCCATCTTCTACTGCTTTCCCAGGCATAGCAGAGAGCTGGATTGGAAGTGGAGCTTAAATTGGTGCCCATATGGGATGCTGGCACTGCAGGCAGTAGCTTTACCCACTATGCCACAGCACTGGCCCCTTACTATTTTTTTTTCTTTACAAAGTGTAAGGGCCTTCTCCCCATTAGACTTTGAGCCCTTCAAGATCATGTGCCTGTTTTACTCACGGCCGAATCCCTGGTGCCACTCACAGGGGTTGGCACCGAGAGGTTTAATAAACACTTGTTGAGTAAGTGAATAAATAAATGAATAATCCAGGGTGAGGTAGCTCGTGTGCAAATATTCACAGGACTCCTATTTTAAAAATTTATTTATTTGAAAGGGAGAGTTACACAGTGAGAGAGAGACAGAGAGAGAGCTTCCACCTATTGGTTCACTCCCCACATGGCTGCAATGGCTGGAGCTTGGCTGATCTGAAGCCAGGAGCCAGGAGCTTCTTTCTGGTTTCCCACGTGGGTGCAGGGGTCCAAGGACCCCTTCTGCTGCTTTCCCAGGAGCATTAGCAGGGAGATGGGTCGGAAGTGGAGCAGCTGGGACTGGATCCGGCACCTCTATGGGTGCCCACTATGTCACAACGCCAGCCCCTGGAATACCTATTTTAAACAAATAATAGTGTACCTCTCAATAAAATCATATTTAATGTGCTTGAAAAGTATTTATTGAATGGTTAGCATGCACGAGTACTTTCGTAGGACTAGAATTATTCATAGACAAAATAAGACCTTGAGTTCATGGAACTAATCAAGTGTGAATGTGTGTGCACACTTTTCTGTGAAAAATGGAGGATTCACAAATAAGGTGTTACGTGAGTCAGTGATGAAAAATAGAACAGGACTGGGGATGGGGAACGTGAGGGTCAGGAGAGGCAGCGAAGGACGTCATTTGCATTTGAGTTGGCTGAGAAATCCCTCAAGAAAGCAACATGTGGGGCAGGCATTTGGCACAGCACTGCTTGGGATGCACACATCCCATATCGAGTGCCTGGGTTCGAGTCCTGGCTCCAATTCTGATTCCAGCTTCCTGCTAATCATACCCTGGGAAGCAGCAGATGATGGCTCAAGTATTTGGGTCCCTGCCACTCAGGTGGGAGATCTGGATTGAATTCCAAACTCCTGGCTTCAGCCTGGCCAGCCCTGGGCTGTTATTTGGGTCGGAAGATCTCTGTCTCTATCTGTGCTTTTCAGTGTAAAGAAAGAAAAGCAAGAGAGGGAGAGAGAGAGAGAGAGAGAGAGAGAGAGAGAGAGAGAGGTCTTCCATCCGCTGGTTCACTCCCCAGTGGCCACAACAGCCGGAGCTGGGCTAATCCAAAGCCAGGAGCCAGGAGCTTCTACCGGGTTGTGCATACCGTTGCGGAGGCCCAAGCACTTGGGCCATCTTCCACTGCTTTCCCAGGCCGTATCAGAGAGCTGGACAGGAAGAGGAGCAGCTGGGACTAGAACTGGTGCCCATATGGGATGCCGATGCCACAGGATGAGGCTCAGCCTACTGTGCCACAGCGCTGGCCCCTGCTGCTGCTGTCCTTAGGCTCACCGGGATCTCTGTGCGTCTTCAGTGCAGTAGTGACAACTAAGTTAATTTAGAGTCCTCACCATCCTCAAGCTCCCTCGAAAGTGAGCCCAGGACTCTGCGCTCCGCGGCCTCTCCAGGCTGAGAGGCACTTCTCCTGGGATTCCACGCACAAACGCAAGCTGAGTGTGCACAGGGGACGGGTCCTCTGCAGAGCACCACTGCAAGAGGACTCGGGTTCAAGCTGGCGGCGCTGGAGGAGCGTGGAGGTGCGGCAGTGAGAACCGGCTGGAGGCCTCCCAGTGCGGGGCCAAACCTGGCTGCGCAGGGACTCCTGCTGTTTCTCCACCCTCTGCTCCCTTCAGGGTGGCTACGGCTCACTGGGGCTGGAGTCTGTGGAGGAGCTGGACCCAG